ATAACAACAGTTCACCTTTCAAAACTCTTCACCATAGAACGACAATGATGATTGTTCTCCAGGAAAAGGACTTTTGAAACAACTTCTTTCACACACTCGCACACCCGACACAAACGCACCCACAGTTGCCGGTTTTTTAAAACGTTGCTTCTGAATAAGAGAGAGAGAGAGAGAGAGAGGGAAAGAGAGAGTAAGAAGGAGAGAGAGAGAGAGAGAGACTGGGAAACTCGAGCTTAGGTAACCAACAAACCCAATTACTAGGCTTTATTGATACTAAAAGGAAAAGTTCCCCTTGTAAAATGTCTCTGAGCTTATTAGTTATTTAAATCAGCCCCAGGGCCGGACGAGCGACGCCGCAGGCTCCCGCTGTCTACTCCTGGAGGAGAGCAGACGGCGTTTGCGCCCTGACCTGCCGCCACTCGCTCGGTCCTTGGCACCGGGGGTAAAGGCAGGCGCCGTAAGCAGAGGTGAGCCACTTGGCAGGGGTGCCGGGCCGGGCCCGCTTGGAGACAGCTCCGCGTGGCCTACGGGGATTAGATTTCAGAAATTAGAATTCAGAGACAGGTGATGAGGCGTGGATGAGCAGGCCAGGCGGACGCCCAGCCCCGGAACTCAGCAGGCCGGCGCAGCTTCCCTAGGGCGCCGCTGGGCACCGGCCGGGGCTGGAGCGCGCGAACTGGCGCGGCTGGCCGGGCGCCCCGCGAGAGTGCAGCTTCTGGACGCCTCCCGAGCGGCCGCTTGGGCGTCCAGGGCTCGCTCCTCTTTTGTGTGGAGCTGGGAGCTTTGTAACAGGGTGGGGACCAGGTGAATTTCCACCTTTGCGTCGTTGTCCCTTTCCATAACTGACAGTCTCAAAACGTCTGTGCATGTGTGTGCGCACTAGCGCGCGCACGGGGAACAATTGAATTTAAGATAAGCCCCAGCCTACCCACTAAAGTCCTCTAAGCCCGACGTGGTGGCTCTGGAGTCCTGACGTAGCGTCCGGGCAGCGCCAGGTGATGCCCGGTTCGGCGGGGCTTAGCCTCTGGGCTCGGAGGCAAGGCATCGCGGGGTGGGGAAGAACCGAGCCCCAGGGCACTGTGAACAGAGCCCCAGGACACTAACGCTGCCTGGGCCTTAGCCCGAGGGTCAAGCCTTGCCGGACTGAGAGAGTGGGCTTTGGGGTTCGTGAGACCGAGAGAACTGGCGAGTTGCCAGCCCAGAAAGCCCTCCAGGTTCCACGCCACTCCGGACGGCTTTGGGCCGCCGGATAGACCAACACCCGCTTGGTCCTCGGTCCCAGTAAGTGCCTGGGACCTTGGGTCTCGCAGCAAGCGCTCTCGCTCTCTCTGGCGCGGTTCGAGACCGGCGTGGGCCCAGAGCCGCGAAACGCTCCTGGAGCCGCTTGGCCTTGGGCTGCCTCGGATTCGGCTTCCTGGGCTCGCTCGCCCCAGCTAGGGGTGGGCGCGGATTTCACGACGCGGGCCGGCCTGCCTGGAGTTTGGGGTTCGGGTGGGGCGCCGCGGCCTGGGCTTTCCAGGTGTACTTTTCATTACAAGGAGTTGGGGCAAACTGAGGGCACCGGTGTTCTGTCTGCCGGCCGCGTTTTTGTGTTGGGTGGTCCGGTTGTGCCCGGGGCCGGGGACCTGCCCCTGCCCCGCCGCGTTCTGAACCCGAGGACTTGGGGCGACGTGTAAGGCCGGCTCCGGGACGCAGCGGACTGAACCGGCGCCGCAGGTTCGGGCCGCAGCCCACGCGGTGGCGCTGTCGGGAGAGGACGCCTCAGCTCAGGTCTGGGACACGGGCCTTGACCCGGGCTTGGGGGTGACGGGGCCGCGATGACGAGTCGAGGCCGTGGGTTTCTTCGCCACCACCTTGGGCCCGGGATTTGGAGATGGGACCGACCATCTTCTTCCTGGCTCAGTGTTTCCCGACAGAAAAAGCAGCGGGTCCGGAACGCGACTCTGGGCTCCCATCCCGGCCGCCCCGGGGTGGGGGCGGGGAGGTAGCGGCGGCTTCTTTGGCGTTTCGTTTTCTTTCCCTCTTTGCCTTGTTACCCCGTGGTTGAAAGTCGATTTCTACTTAAAAAAAAAAAAAAAAGAACAACAACAGCAACAACAACAACAAAACCCCCAACTAGATTAGCAGGGCCGTCGTTCTCTCGCTGCGCGGCTGCAGCAGGAGATCCAGCTCTTAAGCTCTTGGGTCTGAAAAAGAATGAAGGGACCCGGGACCCCTGGGGGCGTTGTCCTGTGTCGGTGGAGTAGTGCTCGATGCCCGCAGGCCCTCCGCCCTCCCGGGCCTCCCGGCCCGCCGCCACGGCGAAAGCACACCCAGCGACTTCCCTTGGCTTCGAAACCTGTCCGCTGACTTTCCTTGCTCCGGACAGTCAGTGCCCACCCCCGACGCCCTCTCCCATCCCCTACCTGTGGGACCCTGGTGCCGAAAGCTCTCCGTCTTCGCCCGAGGCAGCTCCGGGGGCCGACCTTCGCGCGTTCCCTCCCGAGCTCTGGGCCTCTGCACTGTCTGTTCCCCTGACCCCCGACCCTCTGGCATCTTGGGTGTTCCGCTCACCGCCTAACGCGGACTAGTCGCCCACCACCTTTCCCCAATCAGCCGTCTCCCTGGGACGCATCTCGCTGTCCGGGCTGCAGGGGCTCGTTCATTTGAGGATGGGAGCACGACCTCCACTGCCCCTGCCTTAGGCGGCCCGACGGTCTCCTCACCGCTCCGCCCCCGCCCAGGCCCCTGGAGCCGCTGGGGGAGCCAGGAGGAATTTATCTTTGACTGGCGCGGGCTGGGATTTGTCCGGCTCTGATGCCAACGAGGAAGACGTGCGGATAACGAAGTAAGTGTCCCCCGCCCCTGCGCTCCGGCCAGTCCCCAGACGCCCCGGGGCAGCCTGGGAAAGGGCAGGAGCCCACCCTGGTCGATCGGTCCTTCTAGGCGCGTTCCCCACGGGGCATTCTGGCGCCGGGCCCTTGTCCCCTCGGCGCATCCAATTTCCAATCCAAGCCCCGCGCAGTTATGCGGCCTGCGAAAATGTTGGTCACCCAGCTCTCCTCGGACAGTCAGTGGCGGAAATTGGCTTCAGAGCTGGTGTGGGCTTCAAGTGAAAGGAATGATTCCCTCCCGCCTCCTCTCGCCCCCAGCAGAGCAAGCCCCGGGCGGGGGGTGGGGTGGGGTGGGGGAGAGGCAGGCCCGCGTGGGTTCCTAGGAGCCGTCAAAGGTTTTTTGACGCTGGCCATTCCCATAGAATTTTCTCCTGTGCTTGCGGCAGTGGAGGGGAAAGGCGGCACAACTTTCCCGTGTTCTCTAAGATGCAGCGCACGGCTGGGAGGGCCTCTTGGGTGACCGGACCTGAAATCCTGGGAGCCTGGTGATAGATGCTGGGCACAGGCCACGGCGGCCCAGCAGAGAGCCAGGATCCCACGCCCAGCACCCGGCACCCTGCGCCGGGGCAGTCGGGCCTAGGCCGTCCCGCGCGGGCATCAGGGAAGGAAGGTTGGCCAGAGTTGACAGCTAGCACGGCACAAACCTCGGTGTCGAGAGACAGAAATCAAGAAATGTCATTAAAAGTGCAGGCCATAAAATAAGGGAGAAGAAAGGCCCGACGAGAGATAGAGAGAAAAAGGGAGAACATGGAAATAAGAAAAAGCATATATACTTAAGCCCAGCGTATAAAGACCCGTTGATTTTTAAAATAACAAATCTCGGTGTGATTATGAAAGACAGACGACCTTTGACTAAATAACATATGAAAAAAATTGGGAGTGGGGGAGGATGGGGGGAAAAGTCTGAGTAGATTCCCGACAAAAACGTCAGTGAGAAGCAATCTGAGGTATAAAAATGTCCCCCAAAGTGAACTTTATGCTTTGAGCACTGGAGCAAACTATCATGTAATGCGTAAAAATGCGTTCGGGATCAAATTATTTTTTTAAAAAGTAATTAAAACCAATTCTTTTCTTGAGTGTGATTTTGTTTTAAAACTGTTTGGAAATAAGCCACTTGAGGAATATAAAACAAAACCAAACAAAACTTTTGAATCATCATAATTTATTTACTGTTTTAAAAAGTAGAATATCCTAGCAAAGGGTAAAAATATTATTTAAAATTTCTTATTGTCGAAATCAAACATGCTGGAAATAATCACTTACTTCAGTTGAAATAAGGTCAATACAAAAATTGTGTAGTAAAAAGCTTATGTAATTTGAAACAGAAAAGGCCTTCATTAGAGACAAAACTCAAGAGGAGAAAGAAAAAAAAAACCATACCGGGCATATATCACAAAAATCTCTAAAATTCTTCCTTTTTAAATCGAAAGAAATTTGTAAAATTTCTGAACACAAATCTCCAAACATTCAAAATACATTTTTGGTAATAATTCATAGTATTTGACATTTTCTTCTACGTTAAATGCAATTTAAAATTTTTGAGTTCTTTTGCCCCAAATGATAGATTTGTTCATTACCAAAAATGATCAAGAGTAAACTCCAATTAAAAGAAAAATCAATGAATTAAAAAGAGTGCAGAATCTGAAAACAAACTAGCCACAATGTACATTTAATTGTACTTAACTCTAAACTTTATTTAAATCGCCCGTCTCAGGAGTTTAATAATTTAGAATCAATAGTTCCTTTCAAAACATAATAAAATATTTACACTTTATAAAATATTAACCGATTAACAATACGGCTGTGTTGTTTATAAGAGTGTAACTGAAGTCCCCATAATCATGCTGTTGACATAAGCCTGTGAGGTTAGCGAAGTGATCCTTCGCAAAATGTAAATGAAGATCTTCAGACAGTGGTGTTTATAAAATAGCTCATTAATGACTTAAGATTGAATCGCTCCAACCATTCGCATCATCAGATATAATAATAGTGACGAATCAGACAGGAAAGATCCTGGCTAAACCATTTGCATTTTTTTCCAGAAGTACTGAAGTCCTAATATCACCAATTCTTCTAAGTTCCTGGACATTGATCCGGAGGATTCTGCAGTTCAACACCAAGGTAAGGAAAGAAACAGCATTATTATCGTTGTTAAGGTATTAATAAGAAATGCGTCTTTTCCCCATTTTGAAAACGGGCTTAAACTTTTGACAGTGGTAGTAGTTGGCTTTTGCAACACCCTCTTCCCATTCCGACTTGATATTACAGATTTTTAAAAAAAGTTTGTCAATCGAACTTACAGTTTGTTTCTTTGCAGCCCCAAACCTTTTAGCTAGCACCACGAAGTTGGTTTGCTAGAGCCACTTTGTTCTCACAGACTCCGAATTGTGCGTTTTCTCTAACTCGTTCTTTTGGGGAGGTGGGAGGGGGATGAGGTTGTGGAGGGCACAGGGAAAAGCAAACGCAGCCTAAAACCCCCAGGCTGGCTCCCCGAAGCTTTGCTATCCATCTCGCTTCCTTTCTCCGCTTGTCTCCCACCGCCTCTCGGGTCGCCTAGCGCTCCTTTGGAACTTGGTGGGCGGCGACTGGGTGCGGGGTCCTTCGGATTCTGGGCTCTGAGACTTAGGCCGGGGGCAGGTTTCACTTCTGGGACCCTTTCTCTTCCAGAATCTCCCCCGCCTCCTCCCCTGCTTTTGAGGGGAGGCCAGGTGCACGCCGCGCGCCGGTTCGTGCGGCGAGTGGAGGGCGGCCTGGCCCCGGGTACACTGGGCTGACGCGGCTTCCCGCGGCGGGTGCACCCGACCGAGATTTCCATAATTGCCCCCCGAGCGCGTTTCCCGAGATCGAATTTAGTTTGGCCCTCTGGCGCCGCCGTAGAGTCAGCGCTTCTTAAGGGAGACCGGCGGCTCAGGCGACGAGATGGTTGGGAGTCCTCGGGGTCCCAGGGGTTAGGAGGGAGAACCAAGGTGTGCGGGAGCGACTAGAGATACCGCCAGCTCAGGAGGCTTCATTGGCCTCAAGACGGGCGGGGACGCATCCACATTTTCCCGCATCAGGTCGGGACCGGGAGTGTCAGCAGGCGCCCCCCGGGGTCTCGCGGGGGCCGCGGCTCCTTCCCACGTGCTTTCTTTAAGGAGGTTCCGCGTCCAAGAGGGATCTTAGGGACAAAAGCGCGGCCAGAGCCCGGTCTGCTCGGCTAGCGCCCGGGCCACCTTAAATGAGCACCGCGGCCGGAGCCGGGCTACGGTGGACCGCGGCCGCGGGAGTCGGCAAAAGTTTGTGGCTCAGTTACGCCTTCGCGGGACCTGCTGGGGACGCCCCCGCACGGCCTCCCCCGGGATGGGGAGGCCGGGTCCCCACCGCACAGCTCTGACCGCGCTCTCAGCCTAGGGCCCGAGCGGCTTGGGATCCCAGGAGTCCCAGCCCAGCAGCCAGCGGACAGGGAGCCCCGCCGCCCTCGCTGCCACCGCGTCACGGCCTGTAGGCTGCCCGGGCTGCGCCGCTCGAGATGTCGCCGGCGCTGCCAGCGCTCCAGGGACGTCATCCAGGGATGCTCCCCGCCCTGCGACCCTCCTGCAGCCCCCTTCCCTGTGCCACCCGCCGCCCGGCGGGCAGTGCTGGTGCTCCTGCCATTCGGGACACCCGGGCTATTGTTCTGGACCCACGGCAGCGCCAACTGTGAGGGAGAAGCGGCCTTCCTAGCGCGTGCGGCGGCGCGGCGGGCCCGGACGGCTGGCTCCGCACGGAGGGGGAGCTCGAAGGCACCGGGAAAAGTTGTTCGGAGGGGCGGAGGCGGTGCGTGGTGGGCGGAGGCGGTGGGTGGGGGAGGTGATAGCCCTCCTATCTCCAAAGTCGAAAGTACTCCGCGTAGTTAGCAGAACCCGGAGCCGAGGCAGCCGTGGTTGCCTCCTGCGCGTGGGTCTGTGCCTCCGCCGGGAGACGAGGCAACCACCGCCTACCTTGCCGCCGCCTCCGAGCCGGGACTAGTGCGCCTCAGGGCTGGGCGAGGCGGCCGCGCCCTGGACCCGCCGCGAGGAGGAGGAGGAGGACGAGACCCCGGGCCCCAGCTCCCGCCTGTACCCGGGCGCACCCACCCACCAGCCGCGGCCACCGCCTCGCGAGGCCCTCGGTTCCCTGCCATAGGTCCCCCGCCGCGCCGCGCGCGCGCGGTCCTCGCCACACCGCTCTCCCACCGCCGACTCTCTCCTTCCTTCTTCTCCCTCCTCCCTGCTTCCCACCCGCCCCTCTCCAGTCCCTCTGCCTCCTCTGCAGCTCCGCCGCTGTTCGGTCGCCGGCCTCACAGCGATTGATTGATTGATGTTTAATTTCCTGCCAGGCGGGGCCCCCTCCCTCCGCAACCTCCCCGGCCCTCCTCCCCGCCCCCCCACTCTCCTCCTTCAATGCGGTGGACCAGTCTGGCTCGGGTTTAGATCTTTTCCCCCCAACCCCCATCCCGAAATAACCCAGAGACTTCCCCTACCCCCACCCCAAATTATTATTTTGAAGGCGCTAGATCTGGGGACGGACAGGGGGAGGGGGAGAAATCGGAAACCGAGGACAACCCAAAAGGACTCACTTTGCCTGATGACTCAACGCAACTAATAATCATCTCCCTCTCACTGTGTCTCTCTCTGCGGCTTGTCAGTGAGTCCGGCTTCGGCTGCTGGCGGCGGCGGCCGAAAGGGGAGAGGCTGGAGGTGACAGCTTGGGCGGCCGCCGCTTTTCCTCCCGCGTGCGGTCCCAGGTCCCTGCGCCTTCTCGCTTCTCGGTGGCACCGGCCCTACGGCTCCGGCCGCGCCTCCTCGCGAGCTAGCCGCCCTGCGAAGCGGCAGCCCCGGCCCGCCTCCGCCGCCTCCCAGTTTTCAGCCCTTTCTCGCCAGAACGGGTCTCCTTCCCGAAGGTGTGAAAAGGCTTTTTCAGCCTCCTTCTCTCTTCTCCCCTCCTCTGTCGCCTCCTCCCGCGCTCGCTCGGGTGTTCCTTTGGAGGAGCCCTCCTTTCCCTCTTCTCCTCCTCCCTCTACTCCCCCCACCCCCCATCATCATCATCATAACAACCATCGCCGCACTAAGAAGACACCCTGACCCAGGACCCTAAACGTTTGGACCTGGGAAAGAGGAAAGGGAAAGGAGGAAAGAGAAAGGAAGACTAGGAGAACACTGCAAGGCAAATCACCAGAAACTTTCCACCCTGGATTCTCTACTTTTGCTCCATGGACAGAGCCCCAGCCAGCCAAGTTACAGACAGACTGTGAGCAGTAAGTACTCAGCGCGAAGGCGCCCGCGCCAGGCTCCGGAGTTCGGGGAAGCCCCGGGGTCCTGCTGAGTTCCCTCCCCGCAGCTCTCGCGCTGTTCGTTAGACAGCGCAGCCGAGGGAATCCGGGCGGAACCTTCGCCCTCAGCCCTGGCGCTCTGTCTCTACATCACTCGCATCTCTTCTCACCTCTCCTCTGCCACCCCCACCTTGTCTCCTTGAGCCGTGGCCACGCGGCTTCTCCCACGGCCAGAGCGCCCGCGAGGATTCCCAGCGCACTTTGTTGTGCCGGGTTCCTCCTGCTTCTTGGGGATGTCAGTGACAATGTGAGTGCCGTTTCATCAGGTGTTTCCTCCAGCGCCGCCGCCCCCCAAAAATCCGGGGGTGCCGAGATCTGCGGGTTCCGTGAGGAGCGCGCTGCCAGCCAGGCGACCCAGGAGAAAACTTTTTGGAGAGATTTTAAAATTGGGGTTGATGAAGGCTGCTCCCGCACCTAATAATTTAAATTCTTTTGCTTTTGTAATTTATGCGGAAGAGCTTTTTAAAAAAATCACTCAGGATCGGATGAAGATTAGAACTTTCCAAAATAATAACGATTGTAGACCCCGCTTGAGGTTATTTTGATGAATACCGCCAAGTGTTTGGGGATGCTTATTAATGTGGAATCAGGGTTGATTTTGTGCAGAGTGTGTGTGTGTCCCAGGACGTGCTCGGTAAAGGTAAAAAGCGGGGATTCAAGGGTCTTTTTGGCAGGCCTTTGCCTACTGCCCCGCGATTCAGAACGCATTCTTCTTGTGGTTAATTTGTTTTCATATGGACTTATGTACACCCGCACCCACTCCTTGAGTGAGTGAGATGTCTTCTTAGGAAGTTCACTCCTTCCGCAGCCCTGACCCCCCGACAGCAAGGTCGGCGCACTGGAGAACGGGTTATGTCAACCCTGTCCCAATGAATGGATTACTTCTGGGCGCCCTGGGCGGACTTCGTGACCCAGAGCTAACTTCTGGGAGCAGCGACTGGGCAGAATCGCGGCACCCCAAGTTCTGGGTTTCCTTTGGGCCGCCCAGTGTAAGGTTGGGACCGGCTTCCCTGTTCGGGCCCCTCGGGCAGCGTGGGAGGAAGTTTGTGTGGCTTTGGTGCAGCGCTCTGCCACTGGCCTAAACGTCTATCACGTGTGTGAGCGGTTTTCCCTCTTTTTTTTCCCTCCCCCTTTCCCCCCCCGCCCCCTCCCTAGGTCCCTGTGCATTTTATTGCGACCTGCCGGTGGGAACTTTGTCTCCGAGTCGGAGCAGCATGGAGCGGCGGAGCGAGAGCCCGTGTCTGCGGGACAGCCCCGACCGGCGGAGCGGCAGCCCCGACGTTAAGGGTCCTCCCCCGGTGAAGGTGGCCCGGCTGGAGCAGAACGGCAGCCCCATGGGAGCCCGCGGGAGGCCCAACGGCGCCGTGGCCAAGGCCGTGGGAGGTAACAGCCCGGAGCAGGGAGGCGCGCGCAGCCCGCGGCCGGGTGATAAAGGCCCGGGTGTCAGGGTTCAGGTTGATTAGGCGATGTCGCGGTGTAGGATTACAGGAAGTGAATTCCAGGTTGCCAAATAATGCCCCCGTCGCCTCTCCTCTGCAACTGGTAGCTTCATCTCGAGTTAAAACAAGAAAGTGGTTTACCCGGACGGTGGCATTTTTTGGGCACTTTGCCACTGTGTGCTGAGGTGTTGGCAGGTTTATGTCACAGCCAGCTAACTGTTTCTAGATTTTCCTAGAGAGCTTTTTAGTGATTTAACTCTTTTGCCTTGCCTCAGAGTATCTGTTGTAGGGATGAAGTTTAGGTGCGTTCGCTTTTATGGACTAATGTTTAATGTTCAGGTTAGTACAGGAGCAAGTGTTGGTGTTACTTTGTAGTTAGGACAGTGCTTCGAGACAAATGATTAACAACTGGGAATATTTCCAGCCACATTTCAAGTGGGAAATAAGGAATCACTATGAATCTGTCAGGCCCTTAGAGACTTTAATGCTACCGTTTTTTTAAAAATAAAGTTTAAAGTCATACATTTGTAACTTTGTTATGAATTATAGCACAACAGGTAAAAATAGCATAGTCTTATTGACTGCCTGCTGTTTTTCTTTCCAAGAATTTAACATTACTTAAAATCTTTCGTAGTTTTTGCTATTTAAACAACCACTTTCTTTTAAAGTGGTTAGGGAAAGTAATTTTATAAAATAAAGATATGCAAGAAATTTAAACATTATTGAAATATTTTGAGGTTTATATGACATTTCCTTAGTTGTTTTTTAAATATAAATGCACAGTTCTACATGGCATGCAGTTTTTTTGTCTTTGACGTCAATTACTAGTTTAATCTTTTTTTTATTTTGCTTCTAAAGGTTTTTTTCCCCCCTAATATTTTCAGTAATAGTCTGTTTAATATAATTCTTATATTAGCCAGCCTGAAATGAAACAAAACCCTGGCAAAAGTTAGTGATAAATTCCCATGTTCTAAAGAGCCATAGTTGGTATTTCCAAGTAAAGCCTTAATTCAAAATATCCACTCCCTTTTAAAGACATTTTATAAACAGACAACAATTTATAAAAGAACACGTTTTTATTTTTACTTATTTTGCTATTACTATTTCTTCATGGTAGACATTCAAGAAGGTTTGCCTTAGTTCCTTACATTAAGGAACTAATGTAAGGAGAAGCACTCATTCTCTCAGTTTTAGAAGCTTTAACTAAATTATTTGACCACAGATTGTGACTTATGTATCTTTCATTTTAGGGACTTGAAGATATACTTTAATGAAGCAAAAGAAAACTTGATAGTTTTGTGACTCACTTTTTAGAAATAGTGTTTATTAGTGTGTTGTCTTGAGATTGAAGCAATAACTTCAGACTTTTCGGATCATTTTTTAGTGTATGCATATAAGAAAGAAAAATATACGGTGAATGTGGTGGGACCCAATGTGAGATGGTTATGATAAGTGCTGGTAATGTTGGATTGAAAAACTTTTGGAAATCCTTGGAGAGGATGTGTTCTCAAAGTGGCCTTATGCATTAAAGAAAAAAACCTGGACTGAAATTTTGGTTTCTTTCTAAGCTCACTAAGTTGAAAGAAGTCTCTAAACATTTTAGAATGTAATGGTTACCAATCGTGCTTCCCTACAAAAAGGTTTTTTTTCCCCTATATCTTACTGAAGGAAACTGCCTGATTTTGTTGACCTAGGGATACCCTCAGTGTAAAATAGTGGTTACTTTTCATATTTTCTGAGACTATAGTTCACATTTGGCCACTTACCATAAATTTGATATAGACAAATATTATTAAGTCTTGGTGAGGAATAATAAATTTGTTTCGACAAGCTCGTATAGTCACTTTTTTCTGAGCTTTAACTTAATTTAGTAATATCAAAGGTCTTAGCTGCTTCCCAAACTGAAAATAAAGATGACATTATTTTGTCTCAGTAAGTACCATTTATGATACCTAACAGTAAAGCGGTTACAATAGTTTACCTATGGTGGATTTTTTAAGATTTTTTTATAAGAAAGATTTTACTCGATAGAACTTAATAGATTGTTTGGAAAGATTTTAATTTAGAAAGCTTTCAAATATAACAACTTAGAACGTAAAATTTCAATAGTACAAAGTTTTCTTATGAATGTTAATGATTATTTTGTGGGTTTAAGTTTATATAGTTTCCAAATGTACATTGAGATGTTAATAATTTTATTTCATTATGACTTTTAATCATGTATATAGACTGGAGAAAAGCAAAGCCTTTTTAAAAATGCACATTCTAAATTTTAAAAATGTTTAAAATATATTTCTATTTAGCGGTTCTTTTATAATTCAAATAAGTTTTTTTTTAGAACATAGAGTAAATATAAAATAGATTATATTTCTATCACCCTACCTCCTTTTGTTTAAATTTTCTTTATGAAGCAATATAATAAGTATAGAAAACTACAAAAATATTTGTAGCTCTGCGTCATTTATTACCATTTTCAGATATATTGCGGTCTTGTCAATGTTGTAAAGATGGCTATAATCATATATATTTTAAAAATAGAGCTCAAAATTTGGGAGGATGTATTTGTCAATCTTCAGTGATTCTCTTTTTAAATGCTTTCCCCCTAAAAATAGGGGAAATCATTAAGTTAATTGGTTGCTCAATAAAATGTCAGTTTATCTTACTGCTTCTGATAAATAGGTGAATAAATGCTTCTGAATGCATTGGTTGCCCTAATAAATTCTGTTGCTGTTATTCTACCTTTTTTAGGGAGAGAGAGAGTTTGCTATGTTTCTGATGAGAACTAAAAAAAAAAGAGAGAGACATAATTTTAGTGTCTGGATTTGACTAGATGAGGTGGTAGAAACACTGTCACAGTCTTCAGGGTTCTGTTTTAATAGGGGACTTAAGAGTGTGTTGTTTACAATGTGGTTAGCTTTAGAAGACTATTAGAAAGTAGATCAATTTTGTTTTGTATTTCTAACACTTTGTAGGCTATATTTGCTCTTATCTAAGCAGTGCGTTTTAAAGCATGTATGTAATAAAATATAAGTGCTCATATGTGTATGACAGTCAGCTTTTATAGAAGGTCCTGGAAAAAAAAAAAGGCTAATATCTCTTTAAAAAACATATGAAGGCTGGGAGAGAGTTTAGAGCAAGCAAGAGCACCATGGTGTTGACAGCTTTATATCCCTGCTGGGTAACATTCACTTACTAGAATTGGCGTCCTCTCTCAGCTAGTAATTCACTCCATAAGGATTTTGAAAAAGGATGATTAATGGTGGGGAAATTTATATTTGTGAAATTGTTGATTAAAACTTACAGATCTATTTGAAGATTTAGAAAAAGAAAAGATTATTAAGGATGATGAATATAAGAATCAGATGATCCTTTTACCACCATTAGCATAAGTACCTAAAATGTTCTGCTGTATGTAATGCTTCAGCCACACAACCTACAGCATAAAATGAAAGTGATGCCAATCAAGTTTCCAGAGGAAGCAAGGCATTCTGCTTTCCTCCTGGACTGCTGAAAGGCGCTGGCCAGTTGTGCTTTAATAGCAATAAATTACTGTGCTTCATTCATTGTTAACACAAGCATTTTCATTTTTTAATGTTTGGCTTAAAGAAGAACTTTTCAGACAGCTTTATTTAAACTGAATGAACAGCGCTTGAGTATACCAGATGGTGTATTTGCTGATAGGAGGCATTAAACATCAGAAATCTTTTTGATATTTTTCATTTTCTTATGAATTTTGATGACTTTTTTTTGTGTTAAATCTTCTAGAGTTCAAGGAAAGATGTTTAAACACTGAGAATATCTTGATTTTTTTGGAAAAAAATAGCTTTTTGGGGAAAAATTAGTTTTTAAAATAACTTTAATTTTGTTGAAGAATTGTCTGTTGAAGTTATCTTGTAACTCTTTGACCCGAAGTAAACCTATTCTTCTTGCTACCAGGCAGCCCTTTCAAGAACATAACTGTCTTGTTGCAAGGGGAAAAAAAATCATTATGCAATACACACTGATGTACTCAAATAGGGAAGCAAATGTGATCATGATTGTTGCGCAGGGCCTCATTTAGAGCTGAACACTGTCTACAACAACAGTTAGTTTAATTGTCTGCATGTGGAACATTTCCTTTTAGATAAGAGTAAAAGAAATGCAGTTCAGGTCAGATGTAGTCACCATATGAGCAGTTGTAGAGAGATATTTTACTTTTTGAAAGGAGGGCAGATATGAAAGAGTATAGATATTGACCTATTGAAATGTATAAAATATTTAGAAATTTGAAACGTATTGTCAACATAGGCAAAATGGAGAAAACTCATTAAATTCATTTTAACCTAGGATGTTATACCATTATGCTTGTAGGGAAGACTCGTTATTACTTTAAAAGTGAAAAGGTTGTATTTCGGTCTTGTACTCCACTTTTTTTTTTTTTTTTTTTTTTTTTTTAAGGGTTTAAGATCTTTTAAATAGAATGAACTTAGGCTTTGGGGTCATCCAACAATCTAGCATGTCCTCTGTAGTTTTGCTGAGGTAGAAAAATAGCCCTCTCTAAAGTGTTTTCGGTCCTTGGCCTGTTATTAAAATAAAGATATACTTGGTTAAAAAAACATATGCAATGGAACATACACATTAAACAGAACATAGGGTATCCGCCCCTCAAAGTCTTGAGCATAATTTGATGTTTTGAGTAATTTTGGAAGCCTTATATTCCATCAGTAGAAACCCCACTGACCATTATATATTCAAGATCATCTGCAGTGAAATGTGTGTGTGTGTGTGTGTGTGAGTGTGTGTGTGTGTTAGAACTACATAGATGTCCCTTAAGGCGTCTGTTTTCTAACCACTGCAGACAATAAGCAGTATTCTCTTTTTTCAGGGGGTTGTGACTAAGAGTATCAGTCTGTACATATTAGATATCCTGTGTTAATTCTTTTCTCCTTGTGTGAATGTGTGTAT